ATGACGGTCTTTTCACCAAGTGTGCCACGTACAAGGCTGGAGAAGTGTATCTGAGGTGAAACAGAGAGCCTGTGATGTACATCATGGCAATGTTACGCTTGCGGCTTCCGCTGGAGAATTCACAGTTGCTGAACATACCCTGATGTCTTCAACCATTTTTTATATGGCATTTAGGGGTATCAGAAGGTTTTTTCCTGCCAATCTCAGAATGGGGGCTTTCACCAACCTTGTTACTTCAGAAGACAATTCAACCAACGAACTATCAGGTTATTTATATATAGGTGAAATCGAAATCCAGGTATCAAACAACCTTCCAAGGAGGAACAGATATTCTATAAAAATAATAATAGGCCAACTGAAACATATAAACCCTACGCTGATTGCTGCAAAAAAAGCGGGATTTAATCTCAAGAACTCCTGCAGATATAGCCGATTTATTGTGTCAGCATCAAGTGACGGCTAAAGGGCTTCTCAAACTTTAAAAGCGTGTTTCTCTTTTGCGAATGGCGGGCACGATAACTCAGAAACTAATAACGCAATCGATTCCAATTTTTTACACGTTTCTCTGTGAGTGTATAGCTATCATATGAACTAGGATAAAGCCAATCGGTGAAGATCTTCCTTATTTTTTAACTTTTGGTTTTTGGTCAAAAATCGGCGATTTTCCAAAAATATTTCTTCAAAGGTCCGCCATTTTATTAATTTTAGAGCGAAGACAATAATCCTAGTTCATAAGAGAGCCAGACATGTACTCTTTCTAACACCGTTGGAATTTTCGGATTCCGATGTTACAGTGAGGAGTCATCATGACCGCCATCAAAAATAAGGAACTTTCTTTAATTACAAAAAACAACAACAAAGCAATAACAAAAATTTTTTGTAAATTATTTGTCTTCTCTTTTAAATCTTCAAATATATATGTGCAAAGTTACAAACCTTAAAATGCATTGGTATTGATTTACCAGCTCATTGAAAATCTTGAAAAATTAAAATCGAGAATGGGTGGGCTTCCCTTAAGGGCCCTCATTACTTTAATATTCTTTCTTCTTTTCATTATTTTGGAAGTCCTTTTACATTCAATTTATTTATCTAATCTAGTCTATATATCCAAAAACGATTCAGAACGGATGATGAGCTTATGAAGTTAATGGGTTATCCAGTTTAGTTTTTCAATAAGATGGTTTTAATCGGTGGCAAGATATTTCAGTCTTTTTTTCCTATGGACAGATCAGCACAGGTCACGAGACTTAATCACCTTTTCAAAGCAAAATTACAAAAGTCTTTTCTTTGTTTCTTGGTTCTAAGAACCTCCAAAAAATATCTATTGTATAAATATAAATTAATAGAAATGGAGCTGAGTCCCGAAGCTTAAAATGATCTACTACGTTTTGCACTAATTACTCCCTTCAATTTAATGTACAAATTATGATCTGCATAAACTAATTTTGTACTCCCGATCAAAACTTCGCGTATAGAAATTTCGAGAATATACGTTTCATTACATTCCCCATACAATATTAATGTATTGCCGATAAAGAAACTCAATCTCAAGTGATATTATACAAAAAAAAACCAATACCATTCCAAACTTCACTCTGGTGGTAGTGGAGGCAAAAGAAAAACAATAATTGCTGATACAGCAAAAAAACTACCAAACTTTTGCTTATTTAATCACCAACGAAAAAAAACAAAAAACTTACCTTCTTTTCTCTTTGGGTTTGCCATTGGCTGTCAATGCAACAGTTGGTGTTGCTGCTGATTGGGGTGGGTTATTGGTCATTCCTGGAGTTGCTGATGTAGAATTTGTAGAAGTGGTTTGATGAAGATCAACAGCTGATTTGTTGGGGATCTGCAAACTATTGGTGTTGGTGGTGGTGACCATGACCGTGTTATTGTTATTGCCGCCACCAGCTGTGTTGTTGGTGGCGTTGTTATTCGCTAATTTTGATATTGCACCCATGGTTTTTTGCGATTGTTGTTGTTGTGTGGTAACAACAAATTATTTTGCATTCAAGTAATGATTTGTTATTTTTTCAAATGAAAATTGTAAAATTTTTACAATAATTGATAACAGGTAGTTGGTTGTTGAATGGTAATCTCAAATTGCTTTTGTGGCTTAAGATATTTTTTATTATTCTTTATTAATATTCTTCTTGTACCAAATATTCGAGATAATTTGTTTTCTTTAAGGTTTAACACTTAAACAATCACTATCAGAACGATATTGTACAGGCACTTGTTTTATTTTTCTTTTAAAATATTGGGAAATCTTTAATTTTTCACTATTTTCTTTGATTATTAGAAGTTAATTTCTTCTTCACTGAAAGAAAATCATATGCAAATGATTACTCTCACAAACAATATGTATTTTTTCGGCACTTTGAAGAGATTGACACTGATGTTGCTCTGTTTTGCTTACTCTCGCTCACGCGCGCCCTCTCTTCACATTAAATGACAATTCAACAAGAGGATTATTTATTTATTTTATTTGACACTTTTTTGTTGTTTATTTGATCTATAAAAATTTTCGGGGGGTGGGGGAGAAGGTATTTTATTAATTTATTTTATTTTGCTTTGACTTTCTTCTTCTTTTATCATTCTCCTTAAATCTCCTGGATGCCAGCAGCTCCACAAACATTAGTGTTTTTTATTGAAGAGAAATTATTACTTAATCATGCGACTGAATGACAATCATTTAAGTCAGGGAGGAGATGGAGAAGGAGGAGAGTATTGTGACGACACCAAAAAGATCAAATAAACAATGAGGGGCTCTATACAAACGCACACAAACAGACTCAATCAAAGAAAGGCAGCAGCACACACAAATATTACACATTTACAATAATAATAAAAATAATAATATTAAAAGAAAAAAGAAACACACCAAATATACTTCACAAAAAAACAAAATAAAACAGGCACGGACAAACGAACCTTTTTCCCATACACTTTATTTCACGTTTTAATTTGATTGTATTACTGGTGTTGTTGTTGCTGCTGTTATTTTCGTTATTAGTTAGAGCAGCCTGTATTGGATTTTTTTGTTTTATTCTTTTTCTTTTTGGTAGAAGATTTATTGATAGAAGAAAGCCCACAAGAATTCCACACTCACAACACTGGTAAGCTGCTGGAAAATGGAACTTTCTTTTTATGCATATGATTATGATTTGGGATAATAACAATACTTGTTTGTTGTTTTTGTTGCTAGATTTGGATCACTTTGTATAATTCTTCTTCTTTTATTAATATATAAATGGGATACACTTGTTCGATCTTGTTGAACGAAAAATATTCCCGCACAAAGATATATGTTTGAATTGTTGTTGTTGCTATTGGGGTCAATATAATAAAGGTCGGGGATAGAAAAGCATACGCGTACCCACAACCAAAGAAACTAACGTTCTGTCCGTCCGCAAACGACACTCGTCACAGTTTTGTTTTTAACAAATCCATATACTGAAAACTTTCATATCACTAGGGTTTTCATAGTTTTCATAATCATTTTTTTGGTAGTAATTTTCCTCAATCAATTTACAACACGATATATAGAACACATACGAATTGGAAATTCACGAATTAATAACTAAAAGGAAAGAGCAAAATAATGTCATGGTTGGAAAAAAATTATTGTCGTCGTCGTAACACAGTTGATAAATTAGGGGAGTTTTCTTGTTGTCTATGGTTAGTGGCAAACGTAGTGTGTGTTGTTAATCAGCTGATTTCGTGTGTGTGAGTAGAGTGGTATTACTTTTTATTATGTATAAGACATAATGGAAGAATAATGTTATAATATGTGTCTAATACTGTAAAAGATAGGAATTATCAATAATGTCATTAATTTTTTATACTTCAAAAGTAATATTTAATTAGGTATATATTGTATTGTAATAATTGTTTATTTATATTTATTTATTATCTGCAAAAAATCAAATCTGGAGTAAGTACTATAAGTTAATGTAAATATTATTGGCCTAAGGCTTCATGGCATAATTACAGGAGGTAGTCTCATTTGAGAATTTTATGATGGCAACCCTTTTTAATTTGAAATTCATCTTTTAATTTTAAATAATATGAAAAAAATCCATAAAATGTTATGTATGTAGATTGGCATATTTTCAATAAATTAAAAAAAAATATTTTTTAAAGCTGATCGTTGCTCTCAAGATTTAACCATGGTTGTTACATCTTCATTTACAACTTATTATTTAAATTATTTGCAAGTTTTGCCACTGAACACTTCATTTGCGTACATTTCGAAGGAATATTTTTTTATTTACATTTTGAAAACTGAATACTTTCAAAGGCAAATTAGTGAAAACATTGGAAATATGTCTGCATGAGACTACCCTGTATAATTATGCCATGAGTTTATTATTCCCTCGGTGAAGCCCTTAAGATACGCACCCACAAGTCTTCTGTTTTTATTTAACTGGATATAATTTAATTTTTTTTTTTTTTGAATAAAAAGCTATTTTATTTTAATTTTTATAATAGCAAATTGTCTACTCTACCGCATCAATTCAATGTGATTAGCATTATTGTGTAGTTAATTTACAATAATATTCATTTTTCATATGGCGTTGCCAATTGCAATATATCGATATCATAAGCGATGTACACACTCTCAGCGCTAATTGACAGTCGTATGTGTAGAAATAAACAAATATAGTCATGGTTTTTAGACATTCAGTAATGTAAATCTTTTAATTACTTCGATTAAGAAGGAAATTAATTAGATGTAATTAATTTCTGTGCTGGAAAACTTTTCAAAATGAATCCAAAAAATCGACATCAAAAATATCGATAATTCATTCCCATTTTTCCGGCAACTAGTAATTAGTCGTGTGTCGATCTACGTATCCCTACATTGTAGCATTGCATTGTGCTACGAAATCATTTTTCTGTCGTGAAAAAAAAATTACTATTAAATAAGTAAAAAATAACTAAAAAAATTAGTTATAAAATTATCTATTGACAAATCACAAGAAAAAACAAACAGCAACAATGGTTAAAGAAAAGAAACAATTCAATATTGGCGATTTGGTATTTGCCAAAGTCAAGGGATATCCCGCTTGGCCAGCAAAGATTACCAGATACAACAACAAAAAGTATAATGTATACTTTTATGGAACGGGTGAGACGGCCAATATTAAATTGGAAGATCTATTCCAATACAAGGAGAACAAGGAGAAATTTGCCACCGATAAGAATATGAAACGTAATAATTTTCGTGAGGCAATGGAACAAATTGAGGCTGCCCTCAATGGCGAAGACTCGGCGCCAATTGATTTACCAGCCGTAGTTGCTGCTGCGGCCGGCAATGTGGATACAACAATTGACTCATCACAATTGGAGGGACAATTTGATAATACCATGGATGAAAGTGCAGCCGCTGTAAATGATACTACCGTGGGCGGAGGTGTGGATGATTCACAAATGGAGGAAGCCAAAGAAGAGGATGAACCTGTTGCTAAGGACAAAGAAGAAACAAGTGCTGCTGAAACAACTGCAAGTGGTGTCGGAACGGAAAAGGCAGTAAAGAAAGAAGTGGAAGCAGTAGCAGCAGTGCCTGAGAGTGAAGTTGTCAGTCGCAGTGGACGTAAAATTAAATTAAAACGTTATATTGATGATGATGTTGATGCCGGAGGAATTTCACATGCACCAGCTGCCAAAAAGAAGGTTCCAGCCGAAGGTGGGTAATTCAAAACTAATATAAATATTCCAAAATAATTGTAGATAAGAAAATCAAATCTATAAATACAGTGGAAATCGTTAGATATCGTATATAACGATGTATCGATTATTGCGGACAATAGACCGTCGTTGTAAGCGATTTAGACTGCAAATCTATTTAGATTTGCTCCATAAACCGAGCCTAAAAAGGATTTTCAGACGCGTCGGTCTTTTGCACAGTTCTTCCAATTTGAAAGACCATATCCGGAAATGTTGTCTTCCACTTGATCTTTCCATCTAATTCGCGGTCTTTCCATATAACAATGCGGGTAGTATCAGCGCCTTGTAGAGTGTGAGTTTGGTCTGGCGACAGGTGACCTTGTTTTTGAATTGCTAACTCAGACCATAGTAGCATGTGTTAGCCAACACTATCCTTCTCCGAATTTCAAAACTAATGTCATTAGTTTTATTTATGGCGGTACCGAGGTATATAAAATTGCTGACATCGAAATTGTAGTTTTCAAATTCCACAGTTGGTCCGAGTCTACTGGACATCTTGCGCTTTGATACTATCAGTCACAAGATAAATTGTCACCTTGTCTGAATCTTCGTTCGGTATTGAAGGGCTCCGAGAGGCCCTTATCAGCATATGACCCCCAGTCTTGAAAAGTTCGGCTGGTTATCAATCGGCATCTGCTGCTTCATTGTTCTTCAGCCGATCAATTGCTACTCTAACATCATCTTGGGTAGGTGGTATACACTCTATACCGCCACTATTTGATACAAAATGCTCCTTCCAGATCCTCTGTCACCAGGTTTCCATCTTCATCTCTACAGGAAGATGTGTCTGCAATAAAGACTTCGGTGTGGTGTTTTACACGTTGCTGAAATTTCCCGACTTCATTCTGACTTCTGTACATCTCTATTTGCTCTCACTCACGTTTTTCTTGTTCCTTCTTCTTTTTTTCTAAAAAAAGTTTCTTTCTCCTTTTCTCCCGATAATTCTTCATCGCCCTATATGCTACGTTTTTCACCTCAGTAGCATTACGACACTTCTGATCGTACCACGGGTTTCTTGATGGTGGTCTTTGGTACCCAATTGTAGCTTTTGCTGCAGTTTGCAGGGAGTGGGACATTCTTTGCCATTGTTTCAGTATTACATTAGATCGCGCCTTTTCTGCTACATTAAGACGGGTGCGAACCTTGGCTGCCACAAGGTAATGGTCCGAATCGATATTCGCTCCTTGTATCGACCGAAAATCTAAAACATTGGACGAATGGCGTTCGTCTATAACAACATGGTAAATTTGGTTACTCATTGAATTGTGTATATCGAGACGCTAGAATCTGGTGCAGCTAACTACTTCGAAATAAAGTTTATCCGTCGTACCTTCAAAATAAGCATAAAAGCAAATTGGAATTGTTGAAATTGACTTGTCCCCGTACTCAAAAGGTGGTTTAGTAGGTCCTGGAACAGATCATAAAATTTCTCAGATCAAAATGGAATCCATTATTCAAAATTATCAATTCTATAATGTCTAATTAAATATTTTATTCGTTTCCTTTTTGTTGTTGTAGGAATAGCCGCCCATGAAACCAAAACAAAATCGGACAAAAAGAATTCATCGAGTGCTAAACCTGTAGCAACTATTACACCTACGGTTAAAAATTCTTCGGGTAAAAATGAATTTCTTAACAACCTACTATTGGCCTTTGTACCACCGGCCAAGTGTGTTGGCATTAAATTGGACTATCAGAAACCGGAAACATTCGAAACACCCGAAGAAAAAGAAAAATGGGAAGAGAATGCCCTCAAGGAAGCCGAAGAACTTAAAACTAAACTTGAAATGGGTACTATCAAATTAGATTCCGTTTGGGATCGTGTCGTGGTGAATCCATCACGTAGCAAAATACATCCCGATGCTGTTAATCGTTTCACCAGTCAATTGATCGAACAGGAAGATGCTCTGATTATTGAACGGGATTTCATACAGCTATCAGCACAGTTGCGAGAATGTTTGGGTTTGAAGCGGGCCGATGTTGATCGCTGTTTGAAAATCATTAAACAATATAAAGAATTCCAATTGACCAAGGTCATGTTGTTGCGCAATCCCGATTGTGTTGATAGTATACGTCGCATGCGCCGCTATATTGGCAATTTGAAGTTGTGGAATCTGAGCGAAGAGGAGGAGGCTGATTTCAAGGCTAAAGCTGAGATTATACGTTCGGAGGCCGTTTTGATTTATAATAATTTCAAGAAAATATTCGGTCCCAGCACATCAACCCACTTCTGGGAGGAATTCTATAATCAGGCGCAAGCCTATGCTGAGAACACCAAGCATATGAATAATCGTATAATCCTAAGCGAGGAACATTACAAGACATTGTCGGGCAATAAGAATTCGACGAAAAGTTCCAAAAGTAAAGGAAAAAAGACAGATGTAAAATCGGAACAAGACGACGAAATACCATCAACTGATGCCGATGATGCGACAAAACAAGAGCAGCACGAAGAGGAGGAGGATGGAGAGGCAACAACAAAGGCAATTGATGTAGATGAGAATCATCATACCACAACAACAACAGCAGCCGTAGAAGCCAATTGAATATTAATATACAGAAAACAACAAACGTTCATTTTATTATCATAGGTTAAGTATTTAAAAGAAAAAAATATTTTGAATCGTTTTATCATTTTTTAATATCGAATTGGCAATTTTTATTATTATAAAACAAATATTATTTTTCTTAGTTTAAACCACAAAAACAACTGTAATGTAAACAGTTATAATAATGCATTAATTTAATTATATATGCATTTTAGATATATATATGCACATAAAAAAATAGAATGCTAATTTTGGACAAGTTGTGAGTGGTTTGACAGATTTATTAAATCTTAAATCAGAAATTGAAAAAATATTATGTCCCTTGTTTCAGATTGTTGCCAGTAGGTGGGATAGAATTTAACCATGAAGGAAAAAAGTTGTTACTATAACTGCACAATCTTGGACAATAGGAAAACGTTCTTTAGAAAAATGCTAATATTATAAAAAAAAACACTTACCATTTTGTTATTCAGAACTCCCCTTTTGCCCAAAATTAGCATAATATTTCCTAATAATATTGTAAGTATGTTTAGATCTATGTATTTCGTATTTTTTACGCTAAAATAACGTAAATTTTCTATTATTAATTAATTATAATTTTTTTTTTTTTTCAAACAATAGAAATCTAAACACTCGATTATATCAGCTGTATAGATTTTCAATTTTAAATTTCTAAAATGCTCTTGTTGGTTTTGTTTTGTTTTAGTTTCTCTATGAGAATACAAACACACACACACATTTTCTTCCCCCCTCTCTGAACACACATATAAATATGTTATGAAAATTTTTTGAATAATCTTAAATTTATTCTTTTTATATAAGGAAACATCCTACAGCACTAAGTATTTTTTGTTCTGTTTCAATATATATTTTTTTATTGAGCGAAATAATGTTATATATTTACTGAAAGAAAAAACAAAAGAAAAGATACACATTGATCACATCATATACCCCCCCATCTTATTGAATGAAATATTTCTCTAACTCTATCTGCTACTAAAACTGAGTCGTAAATAATTTAATTAATAAACAAACAAAATTATCTTTTTTTAAATAAATTGAAATGGATTTTTTTATTTATTTATTATTTTCAAGCCGATATTATTGCCTTGCAGGAAATGCGATGGAAAGGGACGGGTGTAAGTAAATCAGACAATTACGCACTGTATTATAGCTGCCATGAATTTGTCTGCGGATTTATGGTTAACAGGAGAGTAAAATATCACGTCTCTAGATTCACTCCAGTAGATGACCGAATTGCTATAATCGGTATAAAGGCGAAGTTCTTCTACATCTGTCTTATTTACGCCCATGCTCTGACGGAAGACAAAGATGAACAGACCAGACATTTTTTATGAGCGCCTAGAAACTGCATATGACCGCTGTCTTGGCCATGACATGGAAAATTATCGAGAGATGTACAGGAGTCAGAATAAAGTCCGGAAATTTTACCAACGAGTAAAACACCAAATCGAAGGCTTTGGCGCAGGCACATCTTCCTGTAGAGATGCAGATGGAAACCTAGTGACAGATACAGATAGCTTGCTGAGGATCTGGAAGGAGCATTTTGAAAAGCTTCTGGTATCAAATAGTGGCGGTGAAGAAGATACCCCAGAACCAATAAGAGAGTGTACACCACCTAGCCAAGATGAGATCAGAGTAGTAATTAATCGGTTGAAGAACAATAAAGCAGCAGGAGCCTATGGGTTTCCAGCCGAACTATTCAAGACTAGTGGTCAGATGCTTATCAGGAGCATGCACCAGCTGAACAGAACAATTTGGCTAGAGGAATACCTGCCCAATGATTGGAACCTCTCCATCCTGTGTCCCGTGCACAAAAAATGAGGCAAAACGATATGTGCCAACTATAGAGGAATAATAATATAAAGTGCTATCCAGCGTACTGTGTGAACGACTGAAGCCAATGCTCAATGACATTATTGGGATGATGTTATTTATGCCTATTATGCCTTTGAGAAAATTCGGTCTTTATTTAAAATACCGAAAATGGGGGCGGGCCAGTATGTAGGGGCTATATCAAAACTTTGACCTAAATAGCGATTTTTTTTTTGCAAAAATGTGTCTTACCCCCCCAATATACCAGAATGACATATTACAGCTAATAAAAAGATTTGACACCACTTGAGTAATGGTATGGGGGATACCATTTTATGGGTGTTACCCGGAAACTTGAACCAATATTGATAATTTTTGTAATGATATTTTGTACTCAATGATGATCTAAAATACAAAATTACAACCAATTTGCTTGAAAGCGTGACGAAAATCCCCAAAATACCGAATATTGTATGTACCGTTATATAGAGGCTACACCACAAAGGTGGACCAATATTGATAACTTTTTGTAGGATTTATGCTACCAAATAAAACAACCAAACAACGGACTACAGCTGATTAGATTGAAAAATAGGTCCAAATCCCCAAAGGATTCCCAAGAGGCTTTTGGGAAGCTTGGGAAAATTGTGTTAGGAACATTTTGTACTCAATGATCCAAATATAAAATTAAGACAAATACCGAATATTAAGGGATGGCGTTATATTTTCTGCTCAGTAAGTTAGAAATTAGAAGCAATTCTGTTGATGGCCGTGCCCAAGATCTTCAAAATACCGAATATTGAGAGCTACCATTATATGGACGGTACCCCGAAACATTAATATTTTTTGGTACGGAAATTTTCTGCTCAATGACAATTCAAAATATAAAATTACTACCAATTCTGTTTAAAAATCGTCGAAATTCCTCATACTACAAAATACTGTTTTATAGTGCCCTTAAAAGAGAACCAATATGGAACATTTTAAATACCAAATATCCTAGGAGTAGTAATATATGTGGAAATTTCACGAATTAGAATATTAATAAATTTCCACGAATTAAAATATTAATAAATTTATATCAACAGAAACTTTAGAATGCAAAAATAGAAAAAAATATTACAAAGATCTGTACACTCTACCTTATGGTGGAGGGTTTAAAAACAAATCTAAATTCCGGGAATTATAAATCAACAATATTATATTGCTTGGCAAGACAACGTTTGCCGGGCCCGTTAGTTTTTATAATAAATATGTATTTCTAACGAATCCAACAGTGCTTCACAATCTACATTTTATACGAAAATGGGAAAGTACGATGAAAACATACGAATGTTCTCTATATGTCCAGGTTTGGACATTATAAATGTTTTTGTCGCTTTTAAATTATTTTGATGGCCATATCCTCATTTTTGGTAAACCCCACTAAGACATAATTGGTGCTATTCACTAGGAAACAAAAAGATTCCTAGTTTTCGCTTGTCATCTTTGGGAGGAGTGACCCTAACCCTTTCTAAAAAGCAAAATACCTTGGTACAATCCTTAACCGCAAATTAACGTGGAAAAAATGTTGAGGAACGCTCTAAAAAATGACTGATAGCAATCTACCCATGCAAGAACTCCATAGGTAAGAGCTGGGGACTAAGACTAGAGATCATACACTATGACAGTCGTTCTCCCCATGGCTGCCTTGTATGGTGACAGGGAGTCAACAAAAAGAAACTGCTGACAAAATTAAATTCAGTGCAGCGATCGGCTTCGATCCCGACTACCGGAGCGGTAAGAAGTACACCACAGGCAGCCTTGAATGCGATCCTGAATCTCCAATCACTGGACATTCTGATTAAATTCCAAGCGGCCAGATGAGCCCTGAGGCACCGAGAAACGGATGCCTGAAAATCGCTGAACTATGGTCACGTTAATATCCTCAAAATAACGCCAGGTTGTGATTTCTTGAGGAGAAATAGTCACATTAGTGACTATGTTCCCTCTCATAGAGACTTTAACGACATCAAAGTAGAGTTTCCTAGTAGGGAATCCTGGACTAGTGGCTCCTTACCTCTGCCAGGTCTGTCAATTTTCACAGACGGGTCAAGATGGAGGAAGGCACTGGTGCAGGTGTTTGCTGTAGGGAATTAGATATATACAACTCTTATAAACTTAACAATCTTTGTAGTGTTTTTAAAGCAGAAATTCTTGCAATCACGAAAGCGGACGAGATAGTAAAAACACCTACTGTCGACAATACGGGACCGGTGACTATATATCTCGATAGTCAGGCGGCCTTCAAGACTTTGAAGTCGTGTATCATAAACTCAAAAGTAGTTCTTGATTGCAAGTCCGCTCTGAATGATACACGACAGATAGTTAGCTTATGTTGGGTTCCAGGACATAGTGACCTGAATTCTCTCGCCAAAGAACTTCTTCGCTGTTGGCACATAATAACAGAGAGATCAAAATAATTGTGGGGATCATAACAGGTCACTGCAAGATTAAATCTCTCACTTCGAAATGGGACTCCGACGGAGAGGATAACTGTAGCCTATGTGATGACGAATAAGAGCTAGAAACAATTGAACATATCCTCCGTAGATGTCCACCGCTGATCGGCAGAAGACATAAACAGTTTGGAAGATATGAAATTGATAAACGAGCCTTCTTCTCTAAAATAGACCCCAACCAGATCCTAGGATAAATCTGACAAAAATAAACATCTCTAGGTTTGCCTTCTTCTACTATCTTCTTCTTGCTCTTCCACTCTCTCTTCTCTTCCCGTTCTCTTTTCAGTTATAAATAATCATAATGGACAATACCGAGTGGACGGTTGTACTAACAAACGTATATCCTTAACCTATTTTGCCCGCTTATTATAACTTTGGAGGGTTTGCGTTGACTTTCCAACATCTTTCGCTTTAGTATGATATGGATGGAAACTTAATTGCAAAATAATGTATCTGGTTTTGGGAAGTTAGTCTCGATCAAACCAAACGGCTTTTGGGCTCTTTTTTTAATGTCTAAGTTTATGAGGACAACATTTCTGAGGGTCTATTTTTTCATGCTTCGAACTTAACTTTCGTATTCAGATTTCCTTGGCTTTTTTAACATTTACTAAGGAGCATCTGAATATGTATTAATTCAAACATATTTTCCACGACGAAGTTTTACGTATCGCCGTATCACTTAAGTGTACACGGTATGCAGGCAGCAAACATACCTGCACATTTTGCAATAACTGCGTCATGTTTGTTGTGTTTTCAGCTTTGTTTACATTTTGCAATTTTGTTCATTTAACTGCAAATATTTTTTTAAAGAAACCAATTTCAATATGTCGTCTAAGAAAAGATTAACTTCACTGTCGATAAAAGAAAAATTAAACATCATTAAAGAAATTGAGGTGGATAAAGTTAATAAAAAGCATATCTGTACCAAGTACAAGTGTAACATTTCCACGGTACAACGAATTCTAAAGAATCAAGATGAAATACGTAGAATTGCTGCCACTTGTGCAAATTTAAAACAAAAACGCAACCGGAAAGGTGTTCGCTTTAATGTGGAGAAGGCTTTAACGGAATGGTATAAGGAGCAGTTAGCCAAAGAGGTTACTCTAAAAAATCCATGTCTAATACAAAAGGCAAGAGAAATTGCCAGGCAGCTGGGTGAAGATTTTGAACCAGATGCCAATTGGATATGTCGATGGAGGAAAAGGAATATTTGTAATGGCATGAATTCTACCACCACTACTGGTGTGGCTACTGTTCAAGCCGAGGAAGCTAGTAGTACCGAAAGTAACGTAGATGTAGATAAGGAAATTAAGGACAATGACGGTATTTTAGATGCTGTAGTACTAAAATGGGAAACTGAAGATGAAATTAGGGATCACGAAGAAATGCCGGCAACGATGTGCGGTGAAACACAACAAACAGTTAAGTTTTTTAATAGTTTAAATGTCCATATTTACCAAATTATAATCAAGACTTTTATCTCCAATATATATTTACTGGCAGAATATGGAAAATGTAACTGAGACCATAAATGATACTGAACTCATGGAACTAGAAACGTCACACAAATGTAAAGACATGGATAATAATTTGCATCGCATTGCCGAAACCTGGGCGCATAAGTTACAACGCATGCCGCCTATGCAACAACTGTGGGCGGAGAAATTCATTAACGATATTTTGTTAGAAGGTCAACTGGGCAATCTTCATCGTCATAGTGTAAGGATAATGTGTGATTATCCCAATCATACAGAGTTTCAAGGAACTAGTGAACGACGATATGAGTAAATTGTGATTTATTTTACCATTTATTTAATAAAAATTGACAGAGATGGAAAGAAAGAATAGAAGCTATTATTATTATTAGGAGGAAGATGGGAATAATTTCGATGGCTAAAGAAATTGGACAGAAACACATATTACGTGCTAAGGTTGCACTTTCCTAACCACATTACGTCTTTAATGATGTTGTAGAATAAAGCCTTAGTTGTAAAGAAGCTTAAAGAACGTGGAAAGAGAGCACCCGCTAGTCTGTGCCGTATGTAGGCAAGAACTGAACATCGACACAGGAGATGCTTAATTGTCTCCGTCTCCTCTTCGTCAACACAGAGTCTGCAGTAGCATGTATCATCATGGTTCCACTTTCTGGTAAATACCCTGATATTGCAGTGACCAGTAATGACTCCTGTCATTACTCTAATTGGTTGACAGGGTCGGCCAGATAGATCTTGACACATTGCACTTATGTTCGTTGTACCAAAGTCCATAGGCTCTTTCGTCGAAGAACGCCTCAAAGTTCTGAAAAAGATGACAGATGTGTGGTTTGATTGAGCAATCGATTGCTAGATCTGTAGATTGAGATCCTCGTCTAGCTAATTCCTCTGCTTTTTCATTACCCATGATGTCACGGTGCCCTGGTACGCAGCACAGTCGATAAATGTGAGTGTTTCAAAAACTGTTCTATACTCGAGGACGACCTCAAATTTGATATTACAGGATTCAATGGCTTTAATAGCCGCCTGACTATCCACAAAGATAGACACCGGTTCAACGATATCTGCATCCAGGCTTTTTATCAGTTCCGCTGCCTTCCAAATAGTGAAGATTTCAGCTTGGAAAACACTACAGTTGCTATCCAGCTTGGAGGTAAGCTCAAGGCCTAGCCTTTCACAGTAGATGCCAACCCCTGTACCTGCTGTCATATTAGATACGTCTATATAAAAAGCCAGACCGTACAGCCCCCATCTTTTCCCAATGGAATTCTTGCATGTATAGAGAGCAATCTGCCCTCTCTTCAGTGAGTTTGTTATCTTAGTTGACATAATCGCAGACCGCTTCTCTTTTGGCGTGGAATCGGGCTTTGAGACAGAGCCCTCCCTCCACACGTCGATCACCCTTATGGATGACAGTTTGTGTTGGGATGTGCTCGACAGCCTTTTTCATTGCATTTTGAGTAGGGTTGGGCTTCGGGTCAGAAGTCAGCTTCGCACATTTGTCAGAGACAGAGGGCCTCGCCGACTTTGATACTTTACTTGATTCCGAGGTCTCTTTTGAGATTCTTGGCCGAGCCGTCTGTTTCGGGAGGGGGATACTGTCTATCTGGAGCTAACGATGAAGGGCATGCGGATTAGTTCTTTCGAATTTCCTTACGAATTTCAACTTGCCCTTCCTCTCCGAAAGCTAATTCGTATCTCGCCCTACGAATTTGAGGAGATAAGATACAGCATTTTTATAGTGCTTCTCGGGTTCTGTTCAGTCGCGGTCTGCCTTTGAAGCTTATTGTCGGCAATTGCCGACACAGGACCTGTTGAAGTCAGACTTGAATTCTTTGGAGTCAGAATTGATTTAATGTCCGTGTTGTACATTTTTCTTGCAGTTTTCTGCGGTAAGCAGGGATGGTCCGTGTGACGAATTTTTAGGTTTTCGACTGTCAAAAAGGTGTAAACGTCGAAAACATCATATACCTGTATAAAATGTTATAAACGTAGTAAACGTCATTTATATCAATATTATCAGCATATACAGTTATTTTCAAGAATATATATTATTTTTACATATATCTGACTATTCCTTACTAGAACTGATAAAAATTTCTAAATTTTTTTGAGAAGAAGATTTTGAAATTTTATATCGATTTGAGTAAAGCATGCGTACTTCACAAATTGATTAATGGAAATAGCTATTTTGTCAAAAACCTAATGGATTTAGGTAGGTTTCCGACGTTTCTGACGTATGTATTATACGTCGGAAATGTATGTCATTTACGTCACTGTTTCTGACAGGCCATCTCTGGCGGTAAGTTCTTTGGTTCACATTTTTTCCCAGGGTGGGTGATTAAATTAGAAGGCTCGTAGCAACCCAGAAGAGTTTTGATAACATCAATCAGTGCTCGTTCTGCATCATTGGTCGCGAAGGACAGATAAATTGAAACCATAAACCAGATTTTAAAAGTTTCCAAGGATCCTCAATGTTGGGCTAAAAAAATACCACCAATCTTCATTCTCGATTTTACTTTCTATCGCTTCATAACTTGCACAATTAACATATTTTTTAATATTTTATTTAAAAAAATCAACTAATTATTACTTAAAAATACTACAAAAACATTTCGTTCTTATTACAAAAAATATTCTGGCAATACACAATTTCCAGCGTTTAGTTTTTTTTTTCTAGCAAACTGCTAAAAAATTGTCACACCGAATCGACGACTCTATAATGGAAATCATTATAACCATAATTGGAAATATGGAAATTTAAAACAGAAAATCACTTAAAACTAAATTAAAATAAATATATATTTTTATTTACCATACCAAATTATTACTACAATTATTCTTTTGCATCACCTATACCATCGGGTAATATGGCAAACATTGCTTCCGATTCGGGTAAACATGGTGAATCGTAAATTTTACAAATTCGTGTATCACCACGTCCTTTGCGCAACGATAGACGTGTTGTGGATGCATGTGCTATGATATTGCCGCCAATGGGTTTTTTAGCATCGGCTTGGAACATAGATGCTCCACCATTAACCTCGGCCACCACTTGATTTGTAATAACAACAGCAACACCAAATTCATCTGATAAGCGCAGAAGTAAACGTAAAAATCGTGCCAAATGCATTTGACGTGCTGCCAATTCACCACGTCCAGCATAATCGGTACGATATAAGGCTGTGGCACTGTCCACAATAATTAAAGCATATCTGGGAAGCAGGGGGATTTTAATTTCTCTTTAAATGAAAGTATCAATAATTCCACTTACCTTGATTCTGACATCATTGCCGCACCCTGCATTAGTAATTGAGTTTGATGATCTGAATTAAAAGCCCTGGCACATGCAACATTATCCAAAACATCATCCTTTACCAATTTATAACGATCAGCCATGGCCACCAAACGTTCGGGACGAAATGTACCCTCAGTGTCGATATAAAGACATTTTCCCTCACCGCCACCCTGACTTATTGGCAGCTGACATGTTACCGCCAATGTATGACACAATTGTGTCTTCCCCGAACGAAATTCTCCAAATAATTCGGTAATTGATCCGGTCTCGATACCACCACCCAATAGTTTATCCAATTCTTTTGATCCAGTGGTTAACATAATAATTTCCGAACGCTTCTGATAAAAACTCAGAGCAGATGTAAAACCCATCGGCACTAGGGTATAGGCATATTCAACAAGTTTATCAACTTTACTGTCGGAGAAGCCTTTGATTGCCAACAGCTCTTTACGTGGAGCAAAGGCCACCGATTCAACGGTATGGAAGCCAGCATTTTTCAATTTCTCGATATCGTTGGCCGTAATGCCATTTACTTCGATTTTGGTGATGGGTATTGGTCCACCTTCCTCCTCTTCTTCTTCAACGTCATCTGTGGTGGCTGTGGCCAAAGATCTGTCTTTATCCAGATATTCCATGTTTGCGAAATTTCTTCGGAACTTGAGTTGCTTATTTCGTTGTGTTTAGTCTCGTCTTGCTTTGTTCAATTCAAAGATTTTTAAGAAGTATTGATTTGTTTTATATTTATTTCTTTGAATGTTTTTTGTTTATGTCGGTTTTATCCACTTATTTTTGTTGAAATTAATGAAATTTAGTAATAGAGAACACTCTTTCAAAATCGCGCTTGAAAGAAATATTTTCACAATAAAAGGTGTTTGCCACTGAACATACCCCAAATGAGCTCTTTCTCTCTCTCTCTCTCTCTGAGTATGTAGTGCAACCTCAGAGAAAAGTGTTATCTCTTTGAAAAGAATAATCAGTGTTGCCAACATTAACAGTCTCCGGTATGCTGTCACATGAGCGGGCATTGTCAGACATATTGTCAAATTTCATTAATTTATAAATTTAAATGCCTTTTTAGTTAATCAATATATTAAAATAATGTATTAAACTAATGTGTAGAATGTTTTCTCGTGTGTCTATATATCTCAGAATTTAACTGTAACACAATTGGCAATAGTTTTTCTCATGTTTTGTGGCCAGTCTAAAGACACCAACGCCGTCTCTTTTTAATAATCTTAACTCTGTCATCTAACCTGTCATCGATTTACTTATCCCTACCATCTAAACATAACCTTAAAAAACCTTATGTAAAATTCCTTGGAACATTACTCCAGTAAATTCTCGTTAAAATTATTAATAAAAATAATATCAACAAGTTGCCTGGATGCAACTGAATTATGAATAGTTACATATATTTAGACGTTGAATTGTAAGTACAACAAATTATCCCGCCCGGAGGAAATTAAAAAAGAAAATTAACATGTTTTTTGTTTTCCGCTCACCCACATGATATTGCCCCCCTCCAAAAAATACAAACAACAACAAAATACCCTAGGAAACTAAAAGAAGAATCATCAGCTGTATTGACACCGGCATATTTTCAAGGAAGCATTGAAACATCATTGACTGAGTTTTTTGGTGAAATTGGTGGACAAACAGAATTGGAGCTGCAAAAATTTGATTGTTCACAAAAGCGTGGCATTTTGAAAGTACCCAAAGAATTTGCAGCAAAAACAAAAGCTGCCATTACCCTTATTGGACGTTTCCAAGATATACCTTGTCATTTTGCAATCCTTAAGACTTCTGAGAAACGTTTGGAATTATAAAGAAATCAACACAAGAAAAAATGTCTTCGGGTTACTGCAAGAAATTCGGTAAAGATACCGTTATATTTGCCACCAAAGAAGATCATGCAACACCTTCCAACATTGAACTACCACCTCCGGAACCAGCCCAGGGTATTATTACCAAAGATGGTGAAATCAATTGGAGTTGTCCATGTTTAGGCGGTATGGCCACCGGACCATGTGGTGTACAATTCCGTGAAGCATTCTCCTGTTTCCATTACAGTGAAGCCGACCCCAAGGGTTCGGATTGTTATGAAGCTTTCCGTACAATGCAAGATTGTTTTACGGAATATCCGACAGTGTACAATAAATCGGGGGGTAGTGGTGACGATGATGAAGATGGTCCCGGTCTGGATTTGGCATCAATGGAAGATATCAATGAAGATGAGAAGGCAGCCGTTGAAGCAGCTAGTACAAATAAATCAGTGGAAAAAGTGAATTGATTTGGCAATTCTAGGACTTAAGTTGTGTATAAGATTTATTGTTAATATTAGCGACAAGCTTTGATTGTTTGTTGGCTTTTCTTTTTTATGTTCATTGAAAAGAACCAGCAAAGGAATGTTAAAAGAGATTGAAGCAAAATGTTTAATGCGGTATTTTAAAATAAAATATGTTATCGTTTGATGTGATGTAGAAGAAAAGAAAATTATGTTCATTTTGTGAGTTTTGAAAGTAGTGGGAGTGGTTTTTTCCAATCGAAATAATTTGAGTGAACCTCAGACCCTCATACAACATGCCATACATATTGTTGAATGGGACCAGTTCCAATGGCATTTTTAATTGTTATTCAATTTTGTTTTACTTCACAACAGACGGTCTACGCTCAGAAACCAAAAGGGTCTTACTCGGTCTACAACTGTCACTTCAACCACACTACAACAACCATCCATAATTTAGAACCTTCCTGAAGGTTCATCGTTTTCAAAAACGAGTGATTCTATCACTCTGTCAATTTTGAAGATTCATTTAAATTTGATCTAATAGATGAATTTCGGATTTTAAATTGTTTTGTTTTTCTTTTTATTTATTTTTCGACCTTTGATTATTACAAAAGAAACCAAAAAAAGTAGTATCGAATTGTGTGTTTTTTAATCTCGTTAAAACTCATAATGATATTCGTCATAGGTGAGGGGAAAGGAGGGAGGTTTTTGCAACCTAATAACTGCGTCCAAACAAGGTATAGAATTTAGGTTTATTCGTGCAAGCAGGATGGACACACTTGTCAGCATCAGTAATGGCGGCAGGCTGTTCGAAGGGTATACACAACGATTTAGCACCCATGGCAGGAGCACCAGGCTCAGCATCTTCATCACTGAAATCACATAAAAAAAAACAAAAAATATATAAAATCTTTCCATGCCACCAACAACATCTCGAGCTTCTTCAACTTACCGTGCACTATCGGCTTTAATCTTATCCTCACACGAAACTTCACCACAGAATGGCGACAATAGCAAATTCTTTTGATCCAAAAATTTACAGAAATCACTCCAATCCTTTGTCAGCTTAATGCTCGAATCTAATTCCTTTTGTGCCTTAGCCAACATGCTGGCATGGATTGTTTTCAAGAGTTCACTGATTTTCTGTTCAATATTTTCCATAGGCAGGGTAATTTTCTCGCCTGTGTCTCTGCGTACGGCAACAATTTGTTTGGCCTTCATGTCCTTGGGACCCAATTCAATACGCAAGGGGACACCCTTCAATTCCCAATGGTTGAATTTCCAACCTGGGGAATAGTTGTCACGATAATCGCCCTCACAGCGAACGCCACCGGCAACCAATTGTTTCTCCAGCGCTTTGCAGGCATCCAACAATTCGGCCCGTTCATTTTCCTTGGTATTCACCGTAATGCCACAGGGTACAACAATAGCTTGAATACATGCCACCTGGGGTGGCAATACCAAACCTTGATTGTCGGCATGAACCATAATCATAACACCAATTGTTCTCGTCGTAATGCCCCATGAATTTTGATAGACAAATTGTTTCTGTTGTGTCTCGGGATCTTCGTAAACGATTTCGAACATTTTCGAGAAGTTTTGTCCCAAATGATGACTGGTGGCACCTTGAATTGCACGACCCGAGGCAGAAATGAAAGCCTCAACAGTTGTTGTGTAGTCACCACCGGCGAACTTCTCCTTTTCGGTCTTGCGGCCCTTGACAACGGGGATAGCCAGCAGATCAGTATACACCTGGGCATACAAGTCCAAAATGTCCAACACTTCCTTATCGGCTTCAGCCTTTGTAGCGAAGGCGGTGTGACCTTCTTGCCACAAGAATTCACGAGTCCTCAAGAATGGCTGAGGATGTTTGAATTCCCAACGTACAACATTGTTCCATTGGTTAAGGCGGATGGGCAGATCACGATACGATTGAATCCATTTGGCGTAGGCGGGATACATAATGGTTTCGGAGGTGGGACGTACAGCAATGGGTTCAGCCAAATCAGAATCTCCCGACTTGGTAACCCATGCAACTTCGGGAGCAAAATCAGCAATGTGTGTCTTCTCCTTTTCCAAAGCGGCACGAGATACGAAAATGGGGAAGTAGCATTCCTTGACACCCATTTGTGTGATTTGGGCATCGAACCATGTTCGGATGTATTTCCAAATGGCAAACGACCAGTGACGTAAAATATAACAACCCGACACATCGTAGTATTCGATCAGTTCACCCTTGGTTATCACTTGAGAATACCATTCGGGCAAATTGTCCTCCTTAGTGGCTTCAAGACCCAAACGAGTCTGTTTCTTGACAGCACCCGAGGCAGCTTCAGTTTCCTTCTTAGCGGGTTTGGCAGGTTTAGGTGTTTCTTTTTTCTCTTGAGGTGCTTTCTTGGCCGAACCACCACCCGATCGTCCAGCGACAGGGAAGTCGGTGCCAGTTACTTCCTTATATCTGGCCTTCAGAGCCAAAAGTTTTGCAACTTCGGCATCAATTTCTTCTTTGGGTGCCTTGTTGGTCTTGGCAGTGCGTACCTTATCACCTTGTTCGGTGATTTCCTTGGTGAGTAAATCTTTTTCGGTTACGGGGGTAGATGACATTTTGACGGGTTCTTGTTTTACGGGAGCTTCAACTTTGGCGTCTGGTGTCCAATCTTTTCCGGTTAGGGTTTTGTATTCAGCTTTAAGGGCTAAGAGGGTTTTAACTTCAGGTTCTATGACGTTCTTGGCAGCCTTTTCTGATTTCAGTTTACGAATCTTGTCACCTTGTTGTTTAATTTTATCCAAAACACTTGCAACGCCGGAGCTGGTGTTAGAGCCTTCACTGGTCAAATCAACAACTTCAGTTTTGGTTACAACAGCAGGGGCGGTGGTACCAGGTTTCCAATCTTGTCCGGTAAGACTCTTGTAGTCAGCCTTCAATGCCAATAATAATTGTACAGCTGGATCAATGGTCGCCTTATCTGCCTTGTTAGCCTTCAATTGTCTGATTTGGTCACCTTGGGCAGCGATTTTGTTGAGGAGCTCAGCTACAACATTGGCTGATGGTTGATCAGGACTTTTTTCCTTCTTAACAACAACTGGTGCAGGGGCAACACAACCGGGTTTCCACTCTTCACCGGTAAGCTGTTTATATTCTGCCTTGAGGTTTAATAAAACTTTTACTTCAGGTTCAATGGTGGCTTTGTCTGCTTTTTGGGCCTTAAGTTGTCGGATTTTATCACCTTGGCTGGCGATTTTGTTTAGAACATCAGCAACGGCACAGGTGGCAGGAGTGGCGGCGCTTGGTGTGGGAGCAGCAGACGCAGGAACTGATACACCAGGTTTCCAATCTTGTCCAGATAATTTCTTAAACAAAGCCTTCAAATCCAAGAGGATTTTCACTTGAGGTTCAATTTCAGTTTTGGGTGCCTTCTTGGCCTTAAGATCGCGAATCAAATCACCTTGCTTGATAATTTGTTCATTAACGGAAACTGCATTAGCAGAGGGTACTGCGCTAGTTGTGGTTGCTGCTGCAGCTGGGGTGCTGACGCTTTGTCCAGGTTTCCAATCTTTACCAGTTGCTGCCTTGTATTCAGCCTTTAATGCCAGCAGTTTCTTGACTTCAGCATCAATTTGTGCCTTATCTGCTTTCTTTGCTTTAAGATCGCGTACAATATCACCTTGTTTGGAAATCTTTTGATCTAAATCATTGGCATTGGAGGTTGTTGTACCATTGGTGGTGGCGGCGGCCTAAAAATGAAATTGAAAATAAGGTGAAGATTTGGGTTAACGTTTTATGTCTACGTCATCAAATAAAAAATTGAATTCGAAAGAAATGGTGTTTAAACATTGACTAGACAACAACAACAATATCATCAACAATAGCACCACGTACAAATACGACGAATTGAAAGTAACAAATGTTTTAGTTGATGTTTGGTCTACTCCCTCCTCAGTGGCGTGCGAACATAACAACTCACCCGTGCTTAACAAACTCTGTTGAAGAAATGAAAGATAAGAGGTCGATCGACGACCATAACCATCAACAGAGCATGGTATCCAAACACATTACTATGTGTGTTGACACTAACTAAGGAGCTACTCTCAAATGAATGTGTGTTTGGGACTCTTTGCCCCCAAAGAGCAACAACAACAAACAGTGTGTGAGTGCGCGTGTATGTTCATGATAACATGTTGCGGTAACCGGAATATAGATTAAGAGAGGAGCGTGAAGTTTTTGACTCTTTCGTTAATGGTTTGTTTTGTGAATAATTTTAAGAGAATATTGTTTGAAAATAGAATAACAGTTAAAATTCGACTTATATGGACTATTCCATATATTATTTCTCAAGACAAAAAAGAAAAACCAACCTGCATGCATCCAATGAGGGCAATTTACCCGAATGATATTTTCATATTATTATCAAGGTAGTAACGATTTTCTTGTCCTGGAAGATCGGGAGTTGGTTTGGCTAAGAAAACACCTCAAGAGAAAAAAAGAAGTTGCAAATAATTTTGTCTCTGAAGATCAGATAGAAGTGACTTCTACCGATTTTTCTGTCCCTGGGATATTGATATTGGTTTGGCACTTCAAGAGAAACCAGCCAAAAATGGAAATTAAAGCTGTCTTGGTTGGTGCCAAGAAAAAAAACTGGGAGGTGGGGTGGTTCGGTCAAGAAAGCAACTCAAGAAAAAAAAATACCCAACCAACTCATCGAAAAAATCCTCCAAGGAGGGTATTTTCATATTATTACCGAATGGTATTTTCATATTATTACCGAATGGTATTTTCATATTATTACCGAATGGTATTTTCATATTATTACCAAGGGTAGACTGATATAAGGATGTACCGATTTTCCTGTTCTGGAATATCCGGAGGGGGTTGAGCCAAAAATGCACCTCAAGAGAAACACTCAAAACATGTCAGACCCACCAAGAAGGAAACTGAAGCTGCCTCGGGTGTCGCCAAGAAACAGACACGTTTGGGTCTTGAAGCCACCAAGGAGGATAATTTCCCGTATGGTATTCTTAAGTGATAACAAAGGGTGTATTTTACGTGACTGGTAGTTTGTCATTTGGAAATACATCCGTACATGGTTCGATGCCCACATCACTCAAATGGGTGTTAATGAATGCTACTTCCCCATCTTCGTCTCCCGTGTCGCTTTGGAAAAGGAAAAGACACACATTGCTGATTTTGTCCCCGAAGTTGCATGGGTAACCAAGTCGGGAGATTCTGATTTGGCTGAACCCATTGCTGTACGTCCAACCTCCGAAACCATTATGTTTGTCGTAGGCGGGATACGACAAATGGATTCAATCGTATCGTGATCTGCCCATTCGCCTTAACCAATGGAACAGTGTTGTACGTTGGGAATTCAAACATCCTCAACCATTCTTGAGGAATCGTGAATTCTTGTGGCAAGAAGGACACATCGCCTCCGCCACAAAGGTTGAAGCCGATAAGGATGTGTTGGACATTTTGGACTTGTTTGCTGTGTATACTGATCGGTTGGCTATACCTGTTGTCAAGGGCCGCAATACTTTCATTTTCTGTCTTGCGGCCCTTGATTTTAGCTGTGGTTGATTTCACAACCACTGTTCAGGCTTATATTTCTGCTTCGAGTCGTGCCATTCAAGTTGTCCACCATTATCATTTGGGTCAAAACTTCTCGAAAATGTTTGAAATGGTATAAGATCCCGAGACACAACAGAAACAGTTTGTCTATCAAAAAATCCATGGGGTATTACCGCCAGAACAATTGGAGTTATTATTATGGCCCATGCCGACAATCAAGGTTTGGTATTATCACGCCAGATGGCATGTATTCAAGCTATTGTTGTACACTCTGTCCTAACGGTGAATTGGATGCTTGTAAACCTTTGGAGCAGCCATTCATTACTGTTTGTGTACGTTGTAAGGACGTTTATGGTGATAATTTATTTATTTCAAACTTAACATGTATAACGAAGCCTTTAGGCCAATAAATGTAATACATTATGCAAAACAGTATGAATTAACTACTCATTATTCGCCGGGTTAGAAATTAAATTACTGGGAATTGAAAGGCGTTCCATTGCAATATTGAACGGAAAATCTGTGAGCTCTTGTAAACAATCCACACCAACATGTTGGCTAAGGCACAAAAGGAATTGGATGCAAGCATAAAACAGACAAATGATTGCAGCGATTTCTGTAAATTTTTGGAACAAAAAGGAAATTTCTTTTGTCGCCATTCTGTGGTGAAGTTTCGTGTAAGTACATAATTAAGGCCGATAGTGCACCATAAATTAAAGAAGCTCTCGATTTTTTGCTGGCATGAAAATATTTTAAATTTTTCCATTCTTTTTTTGTAATTACAGTAAGTTACATAGCAGAAGATATTGAGTCTGGTGCTCCTGACATGGATGCTAAATCAGTTTCAAACAATTTGAAGTTGATTTAGAAGAGTTCGACTGTCTGGCTGATGGCCCCAATAACCCACGAAGAGATAAACGATTTGATCCAAAATTTACTACATCTAGATTAGGTCTGAAGATGAAATATAGGGTAGCAATTTTGAAAATATTTCCCTTCATTAAGGGACAACTCCATTCACAGGGTAAAATTGTTTGCTATCGTCTCCAGCAACTTTCATTAAGAAAACTTCCTTCTAAATATATGATGAAAAGGTCTACATGGATTCCAGAAACTAATATTAGAAAAAAAACGAGATTTGGTATATTGTCCTCTGTTTTTTCTTTTCCGTAGTTCTTCCAGGTAAATTCGAGGTAATTGAAAAAATAAAAATCTCCCGTCTGTCCCCAATTAAGTATTTAACTATTAAAAAAGAGTATTACTTACCTTATTAGCATCAGCTGCGGCATTAATTTTCAAACCCGATGAAGGCATATCCTTGGTATGACCATCAGGAATAGAGAATAGAATAACAGGTGATGCAACATTCGAATAAGCACTGGGTGGGGCATAGGCATTATCAACCTTGAAGAAACCACGACGTTGTAACTGGATAATATCACCCTTTTTACATTTCTTCAATTCTGGATCGCCCAACATCAAATGTTCTTCGCGTGTCTTATGGCCAATAAATTGTTTGAAATCTTCATCTTTACCCAACACAGGTTTACTTATAATATGATCAAAGTAAACACAATAAGTGGGTGGATATGCCTCGGGCGTATCTTCAACAGCCAACCATGTAAGTTTTAAGGTCTTCTTGAAATCCTTATTTTCCAAATTGAGAGCGGCATCAACACTGGTAATTTTACCCGATCCATTTTTATTGATTTTATTAATCATCAGATTACCCCAGTTAATGAAAGTGGCATTTTCGCCAGCCTTCAAAGCTTCAGCGTCGGCATAATCAATGTAGATTTGTGGTCCCAAGGTAACAGTTTTCTTGCCCAAAGATTCATTTTTGGGATGGACAGGAACTTCGATTTTCTCTTTCTTGGCACCGGCAACATTGACTACAACACGATTCTCGTATTCCAAGGCAGTGTAACGTGGGGCAATGGGATCAATAACCTTCTTGTTGAATGCCCAAATTTTATCCCAATTCATAAAGACCACTGATTTGCTGGAACCTTGTGCAATAATGAATTCCTTCAAACCTTCGACAGTCATACCACGTCGAACAATGCCACGTACTGTGGGGAAACGAGGATCATCCCTAAAGAAGAAAATAAAAATTAGAATCTATAGAAAAATTGCTTATGGAGTATGAGTTCACTTACCATCCATCAACCAATCCAGATTCCACAAACCAGGTAAGCTTACGTTTTGACAATACCGTGTTGGTCATATTCAAACGACTGTATTCCCAAATATAAGGTTTGCGCAATTTCAAAGCATCAATGAACCAATAGAATTGATCATCACGATCATGATATTCCATTGTACGCAAGGTGTGTGTTACATTTTCAATGGCATCAACAATGGGACAAGCAAAATCGTATGTGGGATAAACTCTAAAAAAATAATAACAACAAAAAGATTTATTAATACCTGCTACTAAGTCAAAGAAGAGAGAAACCCTTACTTGTATTTGGTGCCAGTTCTGGGATGTGGTTCATTTTTGCATCTGTAGATTGTGGGATCACGCATGCAACCATTGGGAGATTGCATATCGATTTTGGCACGCACACAACACTTCTGACCATATTCGGTGCCATTCAACATTTCCTTCCACATGGCCATGTTTTTGGCGGGATCTGCAGATAAAGGAATCAATATCAACATAAATTTATCTAACACTGATATTCCATTAGACCTCACCATTTGAACGATTCTTGGATTCAGTTTTTTGATCACGTTCAGCCTTCATTTGTTCAGGTGGTGTATCATCCACGTAGGCCTTTCCTTCGTTAATCAATTGCTCACAATATTGCAACATTAAATCGAAATAGTTCGATGTATGTGTAAAGATATCGGGTTTAATATTCAATAGCTCCAAATCTCCCAAAATAACATTTTCAAATTCAACAGTTTCCTTGGCGGGATTGGTGTCATCGAAACGCATAATCAATTTGCCATCGAATGCCTGGGCATAGTATTGATTAAGCAGGGCAGCTTTGGCGTGACCAATATGCAAATAACCCGAAGCTTCTGGAGGGAAGCGCACAACAACTTTTCCCATTTCAGCACCGGGTAAATCAACAAATTTACCCTCCTGTTTACGTTCACCGGTCTTACCGGCCACAGCTGGCGACGATTCCTTGGAGTTATTCTTGGGACGATTGACAAGTTTAGATGTCAACTTAGCCTCATCTGGCAGAGATTGCAAAACTTTCTGGATCAATGGCTGGGCACTAATCAAATCATACCAACGTTGCACATGCAGAGGTATACCCTTGGCGGCCAAAACCTCATAACGGGAATGCATTTCATTGTACAAGGCAAAATCGGCAATTGTTAATTTATTGGCTACCAAATATGTAACTGGAGCAATGGATTTATCCAAAAATTCCATGGCCCATGATATGTCATCTTCACAGGTCAGCGAAAACGATAGCCAATGGTCGATTTGGGTACGTTCAATGGCGGTTTCACCGTACAACTTGTACGCGGGAGCAGCTCTGGCCAAGGCACGCAAAACATCGTTATTCGAATAGCACACCAAACGCCGGCCATCTGGATACAGCAAAGATGTCTCATTGCCCCATACGATTTCAACAGGCACCGTATCATTGATGAGATGGGCAGTTGCCAAACCACCTAACAAAGAAAAACAATTAGTTCAAATATCGTTTAATAAAATACACGTTGCAAAGGCTGACGCTCAACAATCGAAACTGATGAAAATAAAGCAACCTCCTGCCAACATGCTACATATCTGGCAGGCAGACAGGCGATAATTTTAACCTAAAAATAGATTCGACTTTTATTGACCTCACACACTACTTACTTATTGGGGGATTGGCAACATTAGCTGTCAGTTTTAGAGCCATGTTTTTATTCACAAAATTCTATAAATTGGAATTTTAAAATTCGAATTAGTGAAGGAATTCAATATTTATTTCAGAAGTCCCACCTCCAGCACACAACACACACACTCTTTTTTTGCAAATATGTGAAACGAGAAAAGACGTGTAGTGTGTCACCGCTCAAAAAAAATTACTTTGACATTTCAAGGTAGGGATGCCAAGTCAGATATGAAAGAAAACAACATTAGGTTCCCAATGACTTAGCTAACATGGCAACACATCAAGTTACAATCTGTTTTCTGTTTATCGAGGATATAGTTTCTAGCACCCCACTGGTGAGATGTCAAAGGATTATATTGTGGGTCTGAAGCATAGCTGAATGTATAGCACGTTGCGGACATTGGGAAGCTCAGTGGATATATTGCGAATTAAAAAAAACAACAGTTGCGGAGGTTAGCGGGTCTAAGGGAAGAGTCTGGAAGAAAATGACTGAGTTGGACTGACGATCGTTAGACTGACGCATTACAACGCGTTTCTGGTCTCATCCCCTGAAGTATGACTCCGCACAATGTTCCAGTTAAGGGTTTTTTTTATATCACCTTAACCCAAGGACATCATTTTCCAGCACATAAGTTATTGTTCACTTGTGGATTTCGTAATATTGATAACAAATAAGGCGACGAATGGCCCAATAATTGTATTCGAACGGATCCTGGTTGATACCTGGGATAATCGTCCAGTACCGTCAAGTCATTGCCATGGTAAAGAGTCTATTGGTCTGTTCCCGTACTGCAAGAATCTACTCGATTTTACTATTTTCTTCGATATCATAAAGTACGGGAACAGGCCATATGACAAAATCTTTGACTAACTGGTTACCTTGATTCATCCCGTGCACAAAGTACAATTTCACGCTTAACCTCAATTGCATTTGGACACAACTTCAACACTGCTCTAAATGACATAGACAGGCAGATTGAAACACTTGAGCCATACGACAGCTTCCACCTTAGTCAGGAATGCTTTCAGGCTGACATATGGGGCGACAACTCCATGGAGGAAGAAGAATAAGATGTTGACATTATATTCAATAGAATCTCACTTCGAAGTCGTAAGGGATCTTCAGATATAAAACAAATGGATGCAGACCTCTTTAGTGTCCCCATGACGATGAGGAAGACAATGTTGACATTATAGTCACCTTGAAGGCAGACGGGATCTTCTGATGTAAAACAAAATCCGCGACTTATGGGTCTTTTGGTACTTGAAAAATAATCTTTAAAAATCTAAGCTTTATTGGTCCACGCCTGGTGGTCTGTTAATACCTCAAAAAATATGAATTAAAATCCATCCCAGTGGTCTGTTAATACTTGAAAAAAAAAACATGAATTTAAAAATTTACGCCTAGTGCTCAATTGGTCCCTGAAAGTATATATTCATTTACAAATCCACCCTTTTAATTCTAATAACACATACTGGCAACATCACCTACACCTAATTGTGGCAACTCTTCTTTAATAATAACACTTTTGACAGGTGTCTGTCTATGTCAATGGGTATGTTCAGTGCATAGATACACTCATTCATTGCAATATATTTTTTCATTACACAGTGCTTACCGTGAAAATATTTCTTTTATTGATGATTTCAACAATAAATTATTAAAGAATTTATACATATTTTATCAAAAACGGTAGAATAAAACAAATACTTTTGCAAAAATGGTAAGATTTCTACTAAAATAAACGATTTCATTAGATTACATGGTGTTTACACAAAAAATGATGACGCGCCCCAAAAAAGTTTCCAATTGTTTCACATCACGGGCTATTTGGAATATTTTTGTGTATTTTGTAAAATAATACAATTGATTATTTCCTCTATTTTAGATGCTCTTTATGCTATTGTTTAGCCGTCAGGGCAAATTACGTTTACAGAAATGGTACAATGCCTATCCGGATAAGGTTAAGAAGAAGATTACCCGTGAATTGGTAACAACAATTTTGGCCCGTAAACCCAAAATGTGTTCTTTTCTGGAGTGGAAAGATTGCAAGATTGTTTACAAGCGGTAAATATACGAAAAAATGAATATTTTCACTGGAAAAAATAGTTAATATGAACTATTTTTTATTGTAGCTATGCCAGTTTATATTTTTGTTGTGCAATTGAACAGAACGACAATGAATTGCTAACGCTAGAAATTATACATCGCTATGTGGAGTTATTGGATAAATATTTTGGCAGCGTAAGTATTTAAGTCAATAATAATAAAATTCTATCATTGCGTGATAAGTATTGCGATAGAATCTAACACAAAATGTGTGCAGCTCTTTTTCTTATCAATATCTTCATAAGACAGTTTTCCCTTTTTGTATGAAGATAAAGACATTGATGTTTCTGTGGTCATACCTGTGTGTATTTGTATGTGACCTATTTATTTTTTTTTTTATGGAGCGCTGTTTTGTGAATGAGACCAAGAATTATTTTAATTTTGATCAACTAATTGTAATTTCCAATTGGAAATAGTACAGTACAATACATTACATACATATTTCATTAGCACAAATCTTTTAATGACATATCTATGAAGAACATCTTCTGCGGTAAAACTTATAAGTAAAGCTATTGACGGAAATATTGATTTATCCTTTTTGTATAAAATAAATTAAAGTCGAAATAAAATCCTATATTCAGCTAAAGAAAGAATATACTTAAACATTCAGAGTTTCTACAACTATTATGATTTTAACAGTACACAAATCCAACAATCCCACGTCCACATACTGACACGTCTTCCTAGAGCATGTATACACACCAAAGAATAAAAATTTCCTAATTGGTCACACAAATTGTTGGTCCATTTGGCCCTCTATTACTACAATCTAACTGCCAACTTCCTCGATCTACGTTCTGGTGGTGTAAATATATATGCCATAGAATGCAAATTTAGCATTTTTCACACAAAAGCCTTAGTCCATTTGATCCGCTAAATTTTCGTAATGTTCGGATCATAATTGTGGACTTTAGAGCGATCAAACAATATGAGTCGTGTTTGGAAAGAACAGAATTTACATACAAAATATTGTAAGGTTTATTCCATAAATATGGCTTGTACTGTTTTTATATAAATTATAATGCACAGAAGGATGGTTAGACACACATTTCCAGATCGACTCAGCTATACTAGGGCCCATTATTCGTGGCATTATAAACACTAGGGGACACATAAAGCTATAATACCATAACAATATATTTGTGTAGAGTATAAAAATATTCAAATAAAATATTGTCCTTCAGTCCTTGAAAAATTCGAAAAACCAGACTTTTGGTTCATTCATTCCTCGTCTTAAAAAAATAGTCTAAAAATTTCACATATTTTAATCTTTTGAACTTTGAATAAATATTCTAACTGGTCCAGATTAATCGGTCCCTTAGCCTACGAAAAAACAGTCTATAATCCATTCGAAAACTTTTCTGAAAAATATTGTCTTTTATTCTTGTAAAAATATTAAAAGTTCAGGGACATTTATATATGGGGACTAAGGACTTTGCAAACGAAATATCAAACTAAAGATACTCAGGCTTAAAAAGTGACTCCCTAAACCCCAAAATAGGCTATATAGAAACCTTATTTTAAATATGTTGTGTGAGAAATCAAGATCTTGGAATATAAAATTTTAGCCACTTCATAATGCCAAATTATAGTAACTTCGGTTGGAACATCCGCCACGTACCTATAACGATGCTCGACCTTTATATGAGGGTTATACCCAATGATTGACTGATAATTATAATTTTTGGTAGGACGATTTGCCACCCTGTGAAAACCCAAAATATCAAATCTCAAATTAAAATATAAAATTAAATCTCTAAATCGGTTAAAAAACATGTCTGAAAATACTTACTTAGCTAACTTGTGACGGAACGGTGGTTCCATAAGCCGAGCTTAAAAAAGATTTCGGCCATCCAATTTGAAAGACTATGTTCCGAGATGTTGTCTTCTACTTAATATTTCCATCGGTTTCGTGGCCTACCTCTTCTGCGTGAACCATTGTTCCTCTATTGTTGGCACATATCGTCTTGTCTCCTTTTTTGTGCACGGGACACAGAATGCTGAGGTCACAATCATTGGGCATGCATTTCTATAGCCAAATTGGCGCATGCTCCTGACCAGCATATGACCACCAGTCTTAAATAGTTCGGCTCCTCTGACCTCGGCTATTCTGACCTCATCTAGGTTGTATACATTCTATACCGTCTTCTCTTATTGGTTTTGGGGTATCTTCTTCACCGCCACTATTTGATACCAGATGCTCCTTCCAGATCCTCAACACTCTGTATCTGTCACCAGGTTTCTTTCTTCATCTCTACAGGAGGATGTGCCTGCACCAAAACCTTCGGTTTTCACTTCGGTCGGGGCATGGGCTCAAATGAGACTGATGTAGAAGAACTTCGCTTTTATACGGATTATAGCAATTCGCTCATCTACTGGAGCTAGGAGACGAGGTCTTTTATTCTCCTGTTAATCATAAATCGTATTTACCTACACCAGTCCCTTTTCATCGTATTTCCTGTAAGGCAATAATATCGGCTTTGTACTTCTTGCGGATGTACTCAAGAAGTACAAAACTGCGCCTGTTCTGTACAACTAAATATATTCACAAATAATTCCATAATTATCGGACTTGTCTGTTTTAAAAAATATAATTTTATTTATTCTTTTTTCCTTTTCCTTTACAGGTTTGTGAATTGGATATTATTTTCAATTTCGAAAAGGCATATTTCATACTGGACGAATTGTTAATTGGCGGTGAAATACAAGAGACATCGAAAAAGAATGTCTTAAAAGCGATTGCATCTCAGGATCTATTGCAAGAGGTTAGTACGCCAGAAATATATGATTTATAAAGCAATGCCTATTGCATAAAAAACAAACAAAAAATATCCAAACATTTGTAAAACGCTAACGCAAATGCATCCTATTTTTTATTTCTATTATATTGATAACTAGTTAATTAGTTGAAAAGTTGATTTTTTGTTTCTTAATATTTTTATTATTTAATTTTAATGCATCCAATGCTGAGTTCATCGTTGTTGTTTTTACAAAAATACGTTTTTTATCACAATTTTTAAACAAATTTCTATTTCTTTTACTTTTATTTGAAAAAAACATGTGGATTAAAAACAAAATTTATTTAATTTAAAATTTGAAAAAAAAATATCAAAAAAAAAAAAATTAATACAAAAGAAAGAGGAATTCTTTTATACTTTACAATAATTTATAAATACTTTTCTTTTTTTGTTTCTTTACATAATTATTATTATGTTGTTATAACAATTATATTTCCATTTATCTAATGTTGTACATATGTTTGTACTGTGTATTGCAAATGGAGTACATAATATATGGAGTTATGTGCATGCTTTTAACATACAAACAAATTTTTAATATGCCTACAGCGAAGCTCTCTAGGGATGTAAAAACAAACATTGCATTCAATATACATATATGGTAAAAATATACCTCTCACGTTACATATATTTAAAATTAAAAAAAAAAAATAGTGCAATATATTTAATAATATTATTATGTATATTTTGTAATGTGTTTGGGTTTAGCTTAAAATGTTTTCAAGAATAGGCCCCAATAGTAATTTAATTGCAGACTTCAATGCGACATTTTTATAGACAACTTAATAATTGTTTTTAAGGTTCATAAATGCAAATTTAATTTCAGAAATATAAACTTAAGTAACAGTCTATATCGCAGATCAATAATTCCCTGACTTTTTGAAATTTCCTGTTAGTTTTATGAAATACAAATTAATTTTCATTACGTACCTTATTTTATAGACCAGATTTTGAGAGAGTTCCATCATATAGCTTGTATTCGACTTTGGTTCTTTACTTACACCCTTTTTATAACCTTTACTATAGTATTGGTAAAATATTACTTTTTGTCCGTAACTCTATTCTTAATTAGGATTTAATATTGAAGAAGTCCAATTTTTAAACAAGAACTCCACAGTGTCAGCAACATGATTTTTCTTCATGATCAGGATATAATTTTTAGACATAAACTACACAGTATCCTCAAAAGCAAACTAATCTGCAGAATTTAAGGTCACACATTGCCTTCCAGACACCTTAATGGCCATTATTTTTATAATTTAATAACAACGGACTTCGAGGATAAATAGTGCACTTCATGAATAGGGAGAACATAATGGTGGCGGCTGTGCATGAAACCAAACTTAATGAAAATTGTAGCCTACAGCGTTGTTAATGGTTCCGAGGGAAAATCGAACAAGAACAAGCATTCCTTCAATACAGGCCTATCCCACTTAAACTAAACTCTAGTGACCATATTTGGAATGCATGGATATGACAGTTAAATGCGATGCTGTCGAGGTAAAGATGCTTAACGTTGTCTATATATCACCGATTAATATATCCATGCTTTTTGCTTAATATTAGCATTTTTTGAGGGCAATATTACTACTATTAGGCTTCAATGCACTCCATGAATTTTGAAGCTCACCACAATAAGGTTAGAATGACACAGTTCGCCAGATATAACAATGGTGTTGTTCAGTTCGATAAATGACGTTATCAGCAGCCCGCAATTTCAATTTGATCAGACCAACATCCTCATAATAGAATCCATCAGCAGACCACCAAATTTCATCACCTCTGAACAACTCACTTTACTTAACCACAGGTAAACTATGTGACAGGGTATCCGGGAATTGACATAACATTACTTTGGAGAAGTTCCCGTTCCTTCTGAATTCATGGACATCATTAGAGATTCATCCGCTAGAAGATGTATTATTCGTATATCCAAAATGAGTCTAACTTTTCTAGCACAGTCAGATAAACTAGCAATTTAGCATGATGAGCTCTCCGTGGAGGTAAGCAGATTAGTTACGGACCATAAGCGGAATAACAAATTAGAGCATTTGAAGCGTTGGAACATTGTAACCGGTGTGAGTAAGCTGTGTGCAAAGCCTCGAACACTGCAAAGAAGGGGCATATATCCTCAATCACATTTAACGACGAATCTGTGTCTGATCTGAAGAGGTGCGATAGTTATTATAAACGACAATTTGTCGAGCATATCGTGATACGCAATGGAGAAGTATTTTGACCGGCAGAATGAATCCCTGAGAACTGCAACGATGTGTGTGTTGAACCATCATGTCTGTATCATATGCAAGTCAGTGGATACTGCCCAACATGAGGTGACCAAACAGATTGAAAAAGTATGAATATATTTTTTTTATTTTTCGAAAATTCACGGAATTTGTTATCTGCTCTTGTCAAGGCAATCTCCAAAAATCATATTTTTCATAAATATTAAATATTTTTATTTAAAACTAGCTTCCCTTCCTCCACCCCTTACACATTATAACGTATATAATAATAATTAGCTTAATTTGTTTTTCTTCTCCATTTGCCTTTAATGCCGTAATAAAATCTTGTCAATATTTTTTTTGTAACGTTAAAAAAAATATAACTTGCCATAAAAAATTGAAAAAATAAGCAAACCAATACCGTCCTACCAACAAAAAGTATCCTAAAAAATCCTTCCATCGAAAATGTATTTATAACTAAATAAAAAAACAAAAACATATCTATTATATTTATATATAACAATAACAAAAATAGTACAATACAGAATTAGAGCTGTGTGTTTTATTATATATAGAGTTTTATGTTATCTTAAGATATATACTTTTTCCAAAACAAAAACAAATATTTTTTTTCTTTTTCTTCTTCTTTTGTAAGTTTTGCATGATGTCGTTTGTCTTGTTTTCTGTTTTGTACCACCTCTTAGATTCGAAACATTTTTAGGATTTGTAGAGTAGGGGAGACTGGGGCACCTTCGGCATCGGGGCACCTTCGGCAATCGCGTTTTCGTTATGAAGCTCTCACCGTACATCACTAGTTTCGATACATAGGTATCGAATATCGAAATAAATAACTGACACAAAGTTTGAAATTTCTAGTTAATAAGATTATGTATATACTTAGGTTTTTGTATTTTTATAGATGTTTCTGTAATGTTTCAATTCCATTTCGTAAGTATTTCGTGTATAAAACTTTTTAAATTTTTAAAACAATATTATTAAAAAGTGGTTAACTACGATGTGTATTATTATACAAATATTTAAAAATATAATGTTTTTACAAAACTGATCGAAAAAAATGAAAAAAACTATAAAAAGTACATTCGGGGTACATTCGGCATTTTAAAGTGGGGCACATTCGGCCATATACAGATTGTGCAATATTATTTCCTTAAAATGTTTTTGAGTTTGTCTTTAAAACCAATCCTTTAATATGGTTCGAAATTGCATATATAAAATCAAACGTGGTTGTATTGACGAAAATGCGATAAAAACCCCTATTTCTGATGGTGTGTGCGACCTTGAGATGTAAACGTCCGCCGCTAGAAAATAAAGCCCTATAATTCAAACATTGTGTGGCGTATTACAACCAAATAGAGCCTTTAGAGGAGCAGAATTTCAACCAAATTGATAGCGATGACAATTACCCGGCTATGACTATGGTGCCGAATGTGCCCCATCAAATGCCGAAGCTACCCCGGGTTGGGGCACATTCGGCGAATTTGACTTTTTTTACAAAACTGTAAAATTTATTAACTAATACTATTTTTTTATATCTTTTTGGTACAATTTTTTATAATTAAGTGTCAGAGGACAATAATCAGCTATAAAGTTGTTATATATGTTGAATAAGTACTGAGATATAGAGCTCTAAAAAAAAAGTGCCGAAGGTGCCCCAGTCTCCCCTAATTGTTTTTTCAATTTGTTTAAAATTTGGAGTTTTGAAATCCACTTAGTATATGTAGTACATTGTTATGTATGCATGTTAGTGTTTTTAGAAAGAGAGAGATTTTTCTCCTGGGCAATTTTGCCGACCTGTACTACTACTAATAATAATAGAATAGATTTTACCAACTTGTATGCCATATTAAAAAAAAACATAATTAACAAAACAAATGTTTTCATAATCTTGTCTTCTATGTAATTTTCTTTGTGATAATAATAATAATCATAAACTCTCTTAACCCTTCCTTCTTCCCCCTCTTTGTTTTCTCACATTAAATATGCTTACCACAAAATCCAAAAAATAATGATAATAATAAATTAAAAAAATATATAACATAATTTATAACACAAATTACCAAACAAACAAAAATCATCACCCACCATTTTAACTGCCAACAAAAAATTAATATAAAAAAAATCTCCTGATGTGATGTATTTTTGTTATGTATTGTTTGTTGTAATCAATGCCTACTCCTCCTCAATGCATACGTTTTGTGTCAATGTAATAACAACAACTACTACTACAACTACCATCACCACAAACCACCAATACTACTACTACCACCTCCTTCACAACATCATCAGGACTTCAATGAATATTTAAATTAAAGTTTTTTTGTTCATAATTATTTTTACAATAGTTCTGTATGTATATGTGTACAATTTTCTTGTAGTTTTTTTATTGTCATCATTTTGACTAGATGATAAAATTAAAGAAAAAAATTACGGAAAAGAAAATTGTTCCTAGTTTTAGTGGAATTTTTTCTATGTATATTTATGTACCTATGTATATCTATAGTCAGTATTTAATTAAAAAATATATATTAAAATTGATTAATTTATTGCTAAATATAGATTATTTATTTGTAAACATTGTGTATGTAATATTGTGTGCGCATAATGGGTTAATAAGTAGTGCAGAATAGTTTTTAGTGGTCATAAGAAAAACAAAACATTTTTGTATATTACCTCCACTATGTGAGGAGGTCATTTTTCAAAATTGTGCAATCGATATAATTT